AAAAGTGTTTTAAGGGGGGGGGGGATTTCGAGGAATTATGCAGGGTGTCCCAAAAAACAATCTTTTAGACAATGTAGCACTAATGGTTCAAATGAATATTTTGAACATTTTTGAAATAATTGGTTTTGGCTTATCTGATCTGAATAATTCATTAGGGTCTAACATCTTCTAAACTCTCTAAACAAATCTAAAAAACTAGGCTTCCCGCGCCCATCTTCTATTTCAATTGAACATCGATTTTCTTTGTATACATTGTTAAACATAAAAAAATGTAGTGTTTTTTTTTTTTAAATTTAATGCAAATCGAATTTTGTTGGAGGCTTATTTTGATCATAATTATCAACTTTCCCTGCGGTCATTTGAGGTACCACTCTAAATTTTGGCCCAATCGGTTCAGACGTTTTGACGTTCATTGGATACATAAAAACAAACCAAAAAACACAGACATCTAAGTATTTATATAGATGCGCAGTTTTTCATGGATACTGGTAAGATCTGAGCTAAGGTTTAATTTGCTGGAAATGCAGTTCCTTTATTTTGAATTGTGGATTATACTCAAAAATGGGAAAGTGGTATTTGTCTCGAAAACGCAATAATGTTTCAAATACAGGATATGTTCGAAAATGGAAAACCTGACATTGTCTTGAAAACGGTCAAGAGCTTCAATATAAAAAGAACTCCTAATATAATGTTGATTCGAAAAGAAGTTTAAAATTGGGAATTGATGTCCTCATCATGTTTAATAAAATGTTGGTTATAGTTTTTTTGTCGACTTTTATTCTGGATATGGTCCGGGATCCCAAAAAACCCAGTCTTTCAATTTGTGCCCATTTCTAACACTCAGTGTTAGAAATGGGCAAAGTGTTAGTTTTGGAACTAATGTCCCCTGAATTGTATACATTCTGCTTTATGTCAGGCAAGAAAAAGAGAAGGGGGAAAAATTATATTAATATTCTTTCATGTCGTACAAATAATATTGATAATATCGTCATGCTCATCTTGGTCAATTCCATCGATAACAATCTTATTGTTTTTGTTGTCAATAATATTCAAGTCTTTGTTGCTTGACTTCCAAGATTTATGGAGATATAACTCGATCAGCTCTATTTTTAAAGGGACTGATCTTGTCAGAAATAACAAATTTTAAAACTAAAAAACGACTATATCTTCCACATTTTTGCTCCGATAAAGGGTTAAAGGGTACCATTGTGAATAGGATAAGGTCTTCTGTAAAGGGACGGTCTCTTGAAATTAATGAAATCTTAAAGAAAAGTCCAAATTTTTAAAAGCTTTAATAAGTAAGGTTTGAGACCATAACGGAATTGGTAGTGCCAGATTTATGGTAGTGCCAGATTTATGGTAGTGCTAGATTTATGGTAGTGCCAGATTTATGGAAGCGGCAGATTTATGGTAGTGCCAGATTTATGGTAGTGCCAGATTTATGGTAGTGCCAGATTTATGGAAGCGCCAGATTTATGATAGTGCCAGATTTATGGTAGTGCCAGATTTATGGTAGTATACCAGATATATGGTAGTGCCAGATTCACGTGGGTACCCTTAAAACCTTTATCTAATAATAATATGGAAGAAATTAATGTTTTTCAAGGTTTATTTCAAGTGCATAATTCTAAACACTTTTCTGCGATAGAAATACGCAAGTCATTTTTATAGAGAAAACATAATTGAAAAAAATCAGTTTTATCGAAATTTTAAACATTTCTGTATAAAATTTATACTTTAAAGGTACTGTCGTGAATCAGGCATTGGTGGGTCACTTAAAATTTCGCTTACAGTCCCTTCAACAACTCTATTTTTATTCTCAGTGAATTCATGAATACTTTCTTCCAACCTAAAGTACAATTCGTGTTCATGTTCTTAACTATATTTTAACCCCCACATTTGCATACTCAAGCACGCACAATAACAGAGACATGTGCACGCACGGCTCTAAGAAAAATCTAGATTTCCAGTTCTCTACGCGCATAGCTCTGACTGTGAATGTGTACCAGCTGAGCGCGCCCCTGAATTACCTGCCGCGCGCGTAGCCTGCGTATACTGCGTCAGTTCCCTGAGAGTGCGCGTCGGTAACATGTGAACCGTGAACTCAGCTGGGGGGATGAATGTAAGCAAACAATGAGATAACGTACTGCCTCTCAAGTAGTTAATTTTAGAAAATTATTTTGGTGATATCAACGCAATATTCTGATTTCATAATTGTGTTTGAATCAGTGAATTAACGGAGAGTGTAGGTGCAAGGAAAGGTCAAACCGAAATGTCCTGCAAGTTATAAAACGAAAGAAGAATTTGAAAACACCATGAACAGAGACAGAGAGTCTATATACGGGGTAAGTTTCCCGCATTTTGCACAAGAAAAGTTTTATCAAGAGAAAATCCGCGAAAAAAAGAGACTTTAACGACTATGACGGACAACGTCGTAAATTAATTATTTCCTCTTAATTAACCTTTACGATTTTAATTTCAAATTAAATTCAGTCTGCGTATTTCAATCAACATTGCTAATTCTGTCATTACTTGTAATTTGGCTTCGAGACGTTACATATATAAGACATTACATAAGAGCATATTGTACATGATATAATTGTGCATGACATTTCACAGATATTTTTTGGTAACAGTTTTTAAGTCTCGCAGACATAGTTTAGTTTTATCCTGTTTCATTTCATCAGATGAAGTTTTTACTCTATTTCTTCATCATGTTCAATTTTTGTTTGTGAAATTTCTGTGACCCTTTCATGTGATCTGTTTAAAAAAAATTTCCCCATGAAATTGCCTTTGAAATGTGATCAATGAAATGTTTGATCACTGAAATTTCCGATCAATGAAATTTATGATAAAAAATTTCTGATCAATGAAATGTCTGATCAATGAAATTTATGATAAAAATATGTCTGACCAATGAAATTTAAGATAAAAAATGTCTGACCACTGAAATGCCCGATCAATGAAATTTATGATAAAAATGTCTGATCAATGAAATGTCCGATTAATGAAATGTCCTATATATCAATGAAATGTCCTTATATCAATGAAATGTCCTATATATTAATGAAATGTCCTATATATTAATGGAATGTCCGATTAATGAAATGTCCTATATATCAATGAAATTTCCTATATATTAATGAAATTTCCTATATATTAATGAAATTTTATTGGTCATGTACAGAATTGATAGGAGGGTGGGGGAGGGGGTGTCCAAAAATTGTACAATAGGACAGACTCGTTGATTTTGCACAGATTTTATTTTTTTTCAGGGTTTGGTTATTAAAGCATAAAAAATTTCTGGGCCGAGTTCTGCGGCTAGGACAGGCTAGGGGACTGGGAGCTGCGTCCACATGTTCAGTACACTACTTATCACATGTACATTTTTATGAAGAATGATGGGGTGGTGGCTGGGGTGGGGGGGGTATCCAAAAAACTTTGTTCTATGGAATGAGGGGATTTTTATGATGGAATATTATTTTCAGAAAATAATTTTTGGACCCTTTTTAGTATACACATGGGCAAATTTAAAATTCAATACTACAAATAAAACTGCATATTTTAAACGTACAGTGTCCCCGGAAAAAAATATCAACATTCAACCATTTTGAAATAGTTTGAAGAAATGTATTTTGTCATTTTTTCGTTTTATTCTCTAGTATTTGGCAAATTTTGAAGTTGTGTTTCGATAAAGAGATTACTCAAAACCCCTAACAATTTTTTTGAACTTAATATTTTTGAAAATTTTAGGGAATAGTCGAAAAAATGGCAAAATACGATTTTGAGACTTTTCATTAACGTTTGATGCATTTCGAGAGCTCCTAATGATCAGCTGTTTAAAGTAATAAAAAGGCTGAGGCATATATTTACTTAATTTTTGCCCAGGGGGTCTCCATAGTTTCAGTAGAAGTAATATTTCCATTTACTGATAGCGCTGATTGAAGGATTCATGGCTCTGATTGGATAATGATATAGATAGAAAGATAGATGTTACCATCATACAATTTCTATTGGTTCAGAATAGACAACAAGCACATGACTGAACCCTGATTGGATCAGGCGTTAATGGAATCGGCAAACAACTGTGGGGTGGAAACGTCATTTGTGTACCAAAAGAGTGTGTGTAAAGTTTACCGAATTTGTCTGCAAAGCAGTGCGACTGGCTTTCTCATGCCAGACCATCGCCATTTCCTTTCCCTTTATTCCTATTCCCTGTTTTTGCTACAAGCAATTTTTGTTATACACGTTTTCTCGTCTGTTTCTTGGAAACAATTAACCGGTGTCTTTTGTCCAACCATTTATAGTTTATTAAAAAACTTTATCATTCTATAATATATAATGAAGTAATCTCTACGTTTGGTTGTTTATTTGTTTGTTGATATTGCACAAATTTGATTAAATAATGCGCATTATTATACATGCTTAAGTACATAAAATGAAAAGGTATATATTTGTTCAAATTTTTGACTTCCAGTTTTTTTCAGAATCCCCTGGGGAATCAGCAGGACGTCATGAAGGTTAAAGAGAGAAGGAAGAAAAAAGTTAAAGACGACATTCTAAGGAATGAAGCTTTCCTCGTCGACAAAGATGGGGAAGACGACATTCAAGTGGAAGATGACGAGATAAATTTTGAAGAAAATCTCGGGAACATTCTCAAAGCTGGTGAACCCAAAGTAAGTCTAGTCAATAATAGGGGACATTAGGTCCAAAATATGTGTATGGCCCATTTCTAGCTCTGTGGTAGAAATGGGCTAAATCAATTTTCTTTACAATCAAACAAATTGACAAGCAAAGTATATATATATACGAATGTCTTGTTTTATTATATATTCGTATTATTGTATTGAATTACAAAACAGAAAGAGAGCATGCGCGTAACTCATTTGGTCTTCTGCCTCAGGGTTATTCAGGGTCTAGAAAAAATGACATATAGTGATCTATCTGTGTTGTTATTAATCTATGGTTAGCACCCTCTGGAGAAGAAATAGTATTTGTTTTCCTTGAATTATAATCTAACTTCAAGGTTGCGCATAATTATCACAGATCTAGGTTTAAAGAAATAAAGCCAAGATAAGATGGATTTAGGCAGATTTTGCCTTTTTCCACTTTTTTCCAAATTCATGTTGTAGATTTTACAAATTTATATTGTGATACAAATACAACGTACATCCTTTCCATATCGACATATTTTGATCTCAATTAAAAAAATAAAATAAAATAAAAAATCGAACGCAAAAGTTAAAAATAAAAAAAGAAATTCTTTATTTCACTGGTGAAAATGGGGGTTCAGACTCGCACCGTGGATAAATAATAAAAAATCACAATAAAATGGCAGCGTTTTTGGTTCTTTTGTCCAATCCCCATCCCTTCTTCCCGGATTTCGTAAAACTGATCCTTTCATAAATTTGGAACTATTTGAACCATGAAAGTTCCTCCCCTGGTATTTTACGCTATATAACATATTTGGTTTCGACCAGGCTATAATCTACACTTTATCCTGCTTAAATAGCTCAGAATTTGACATTTTGTTGGGCCGCCTTCAAACCCTAGTTTTCGTGAAGTAAAAAGAGTTTAACAAGAACGAATTTGTTTTTAGGCCAATTATTGAGATAATTATTTTCTTGTGTTTACTACAGCAAATTTATACTGTTCCTGCAAACTGTAAACCAAAAAAAGTTCTTTCCCAAGAGTTAACAAGTTAATCTTGGGCATACAAAAAAAAATTTTTAAGTTGTTAAAATATTATTTTAAAAACTAAATTTTAAGCTGGAAGCTACTGAAGTAACAAATGGGACAGTAAATTTGCAAATAAATCGTGCAATTTTTTAAGTTATTAAAATCAATTATGCGGAGACTGTTATGTATCAAATAAACATTTTAAATTTTAGATAATTTTAAAGAAAGAATATGTAGAAAAAGGAAACACTGTTAATGTAATTTGTTGTAAAGTGGCATGATTAATTCACAACAATACATCATTAAACATTTATCTGAGCACCATTGTGGAATATATTTGTAGTTTTTCTTGCTGAAAATTTATTACTTTCAGTTTTAGTTTTTCTTTTGAATTGACTTGCCGGACTTATACTGCAGAGGCAAGGAAGGAATCATACATAGTTTAACACTTAATAATGTTTTAAAGAAACTGATATAATTCGGAATTACAACGTTAACTGGAGGGTCAATTGAAATCCCATCTACAGTTTCTTAAAAATCGTAAAGAATTGACCAGAATTGATAAAGCACAAGTTAATCTTCATGAGAAGACGATTAAGCAATCAATCAATCCACGAGAGCGCGCTTCTTGGTTAACAGGATTAAGTTTCCGCCGGCCATTTTGATTTTGTAAATTGAACTTTAGGCTTTTCTAATTTATTCTTGGCTACATCAAGCCAGCTTTTAAGCCTTCAGGCTTTGAGTTTTGGTCTAGTACTGTCTGACATTTAGAATGAGAATTATAAAGAATGCGGCAATTTTACCTAGTCCGCCATTTTGTAAACCCGCCATTATTCTTTTGTTAGAATATCAAGAATATACGAAAAACTTGCAATTATTTCATTATATATTAAATCATGAACTGGATCTTTTTTTTATTTGTCTGCGTGTTGGTATGTTTGTATTAAATAAACGCCAAAACACGAGCACTGATTTCTCTTATGAACTAGAAAGACCAAAAAATGTTTTTTTGGGAATCGAAATTAAATAATTGCTTTATTCTAGTAATCTACGAATAACTTCTCAAAATCAGCGAAATTAGTAACGGTTGGAATCAATTTTCTAATTGCCATTTATCAGATTTCTAAATCATAATTATCCCTCTGGTAGAATGAAAAGAAACAATCATTCAATTATAGATGATTATGCTTCACAAAATGTCAATTATTAAAGGTCATTATTTGATTGACTAAAACTTTTAACTTAAACACTCGACCACATTGTTTGGAATTTGTTGGAAGTTTCAGTTTTTCATTTCCGTGAATTCGATCCAAACTTTCAATCATTCTCCTCAAAAATTTCTGTCACACCAAAAATGTATTTATATTAAATCAATCTATATCTATACATATCAAGTTTTATTCTCTGTTTGTCTGTTTCTTTGTTTGTATGTTTGATCATAACTCAGTAACCCTTTCACCGATTTGCCTCAAATTTTGATTGAGGGAATTCGGGAGAACCATGGGGATGTTTTAGCTTAGTTTAGAAATTTTAAGTTGACTGTGTCTATTTTTATGTGGGAAAATAGCTAAAATCGTAATGTACGACCAAGCGCGGGTAAACGGCGGGACTACCAATACAGAGTACGCTGGGTTCTGTAGCTTGTATACATATAAAATAAAATCAAATTAATTTTTTCATAATCCAAATCTTTTATTTACTCTTACATATTTTACAACATGCATTAGATGCATGGATGAAAGACCTTGAAGTTTTAAAGTTCAAGTTGAAGCCGGAGTAACCGGTGGATGAAGACTGTTTGTCCGAGGGTGTTTGTCTGTTGAAAAAGGGTATTAATTACAATTCAACCAGTTTCATTTAACATTGATGACTATTCAAGATCTATGCCTAGTATTCTATTAATGTTAAAAGTTTAAAATACTCAAAAAATTAAATGTTCTAAAAACGATACATAGAAAAAAACCAAGGTTCAAGAATATTTTTTTTTTCATTTTTAACTCGGATTTCTAAGGAGCATTATTTCGAAAGCCCAAACGTTTGAAAAACGGATACGGGTGTTTTCGTAAATTTCTCCAACTTAAAGAATGTCAATATTTAGCCACACAAGTCATACATTTAAATTTGAACAATATAAATTAATTATTAGATAAAATATCTGTTATAATAAACTTAATTTTTTTTTTCATGTAAATTACCGTTTGAACGTTTAACTTTGAAAAAATAAATTTGAAAAGTAGCCGAGAGATTTTCATGAGATTTTTCATCATTAAGTATAAAAAGTAAGCAAATTGATGATCATGTATTTCTTTAAAAAAACAGTTTATAACAGTTTTGATAAAGGATTTTATGTAAAAGGGTGGATAAACCTCTCAATTTTTTATTAGAAAGGGGAAAATCAGATTTCAATATATATATAGAAAATAAAAAAAGAACTAAAACTTTTTTTGGCAAAAATAAAAAATTGGAACATTAAGGTTGATTTTTAACGTTTTTTGTTTACATGGTACACATACACACATCTCATAATAAGAGCAATCAGGCAGTAATAATCAGGCAGTTAGTTTCCTATTCCAGGCCCAACCCCCGTGTCAGAGCACGCTATAAAAACAAGCCGCTGTAAAATGTTGAAACCGCACTGTTTAAAGTTTAATTGCGTTTCACAAGCCTGTTATAAAAGTACAATTATTTTTGAATTTAGATTACACATAGTTTACATTGTTATTTTTCGGAGAATGTACAAAAACATTAAAATTTTGTCAAGCCACATACAGTTTTGAAGTAGTGCAATTTAGTGTTATTCTAACATTTGAAAAATTAAACGAAATATATTTGTTTCGATAAAAAAATCATCAAATTATAATAATTCTAATTTTTAAATTTGGATTTCAATTTTTGATTAAAATTCCAAAAAATATTTTATACAGATCTGTTGCCAAATATCACCATTTCGCACATTTAACAATTTCTATTAGATCATTTAAAGCTTAAGGTTTGTACTATACATATGTTGTTATGAATTGTACACTGTTAAAGAGCCGTGTATTTTCTTTGTTTTTGTACCATTGTTAATTTGGACATATTTTACACATGCTATGGCAGTTTTTTTTTGTTTACTTTCAAACAGATGCTATTTGCTAAAAATCTACAAATACACATGTCTGTTTTGAATTAACATTAAACAAATAATTATCAGTTGTTTGTGTTTGTCGTGATTTGTTTGTTTAGATGTGATGTTTGTACTTGTGAGCATCTTCGGAGCGTGTGTTTGTGTGTGTGAATGTTTGTGCGCGTGAGTGTCTGTCTGTGCGCGCACCAGCTGATGTTAAGGTTTCCCCAAACATACGGAGAAAGTTGCGTCAAGTCGAACCTTCTTCACAAAAAAATGCGGGAACATTTTTAATAAATTCCGGGGATAAATCATTTAAGTTCTTTGACATTTGAAAATTTAAATTCTAATTTAAGGAAGAATGTCGGATGTCCTTAAGAATGCCATTTTCTTCAGTATATACGGAGAGTTAAGACTGGAAACTTGGTGTTAAATTGTGAAATAGGATAATTTTGTGAAATAAGGATTAAGATTAAGGGCAAGAATGTGAACGGATGAATTAAGTGTACTTAGAGATGAAAGATTTAATTGTTCTTAATATCTCCTGAAACTATCCGCACTGAATACTGCACCCTGAGCCATACATTGTGACTTCTGAACCTAACACATGAGTTTTAGAACTTTTTTTGATTTTTGAAAAAGTTTAAGTTTTCGAAAATGCGCTAAATGTTTAAGAGTTAAGTGTACACAAGAATGCAGGCAGAAGGAAGATATGTATCCGGTCTCAACCCCTCCGTCTTATCCATCCTCTCACACGACCTCCAGGAAAACCTATAGAGGCTCACCTTCAACCTCTGAAACCTCACGCAAGAGTCTAAAAAGCTTTTTGTTACCTGAAAAAAGCCTCCAAGTCGGAAGGTTTTCACTTGCTGAAATGGGAAACCAAGGAGA